CTTTTTTTTGCTGCTTGGGGCAGCAAAAAAGCTAGAGCCGGCCCTGAACAGACACACCACAATGCACTACAGGGATCATTCACCTACCGCTAACATGCAGCTGACTCTGGGATGGAACACAGTAACAGTATAACAGACACACCACAATGCACTACACGGATCATTCAGCCAGTGCTGAAATGAAGCTGCCTCTGGAGAGGAACATGGTGGCAATGTAATAGACACACAGCAATGCTGTAGAGGGATCATTCACCTAGAGCTAACATGCAGCTGCCTCTGGGGTGGAACATGGTAGCAGTATAACAGCTGCAAAGCTGTGTTGCACAGTCACTTACCCAGCACTGAAACGCAGCCAGCTCTGGGGTGGAGCCCAGCAGCAATTTAACAGTGCATAGGAACGCTACTAAAGAGGTAATGAGTTGACAAGATGTTTAATAGTCCAAACAATAGTGTTTAATAATCTATGACCCAGATAAAGAACAAATTAAAATTCCAGACAGAAAATGTGGACCAACGCCTCGCCCTACTTGGGATTTAGCCAGGACAGCGGCGTTCACACCCTGACTTTAATGAAAAGTGCCGGGGAATGTTTAATCTTCAGAACTGATCAGAAACTCCGCTTCAGAGCACAACTAAAAGGCAAATACATGAGCAGCGACTGTGAAGGATGAGTGCCCCTCCCCGCCCCCGCCCCGGCTGCTCCGTGAAGTATTGTACAGGGCCATGGAGTCAGCACTGACTGCAAGGGGAGCGCGCCCCCTACTGAGCCCTGCTCCCTGCTCCCAGTCTCTGGCACTAATCCAGCTCTGTGACCTCTACGCAGCACAAGCTGGCTTCTGTCCCTGGGTGGGCCAGGGCTGTTGGAACCGCTCCGGCAGAGGGTTATGTAAAAGCCCAAGGCTGTCTCCGTTAACTCCACGGAGGGGAAAACACTTGATTATATTAAATTTCCCTTCGGGTGCCGATTCACCCCCCAGAAGTCAAAGTGCTTTAATACATTCATCCGCGCCACACCCCACACGGAAAAATCGTTACCCTAATTTCACAAAGGGGAAACTGGTGCACAGACCTCGCCCTGACCAAGTTCAGACTCAGAGTGAATGGCGGGATTAGAACCCAGGAGTCCTGACTCCCAGCCCCCACCCTACTCTAACCCCTAAACTCCACTCCCCTCCCAGAGCAGGGGCTAGAACCCAGGAGTCCTGACTCCCAGCACCCCCGATGCCAACCACTAGACCCCACTCCACTCCCAGAGCTGGGGATAGAACCCAGGAGTCCTGACTCCCAGCCTGTCCCCCCCCCACCACTAGACCCCACTCCCCTCCCAGACAGCACACAGACCCCTCCAAACTCCTCTCCCCAGCACCAGATTAACATCAGACCAGGTGCCACAATTCTCATGCAAACACTTTAATGAGGGCTTATTTCAAACAACAGAAGGGAAACCAGACCCTGCCCCCAAGTAACATGTCAGCCCTAGTGCTGGGCAATGGGTGGGTCGCTACGGTGGGCACATCAATGACGCTACAGATGGTGCAAGGTAACATGGGCACCGCTTCTGCAGGGCTGGAGATGGGGGTAAAGCAGGGGGCAGGGAAGATATGGGGGAGAGGAGGGAACAAACACGAGTCCCTGTGAAATGGGGGCAGACACAGTGATGGGGGAGAAGGGAGGATAGATAGATAGATAGATAGATAGATAGATAGATAGATAGATAGATAGGCGGTTGGCTATGGAGGCAGAGGGACAGACAGACAAGCCTACTGGTGCCTAGGGAGACATACAGATGGACAAATACTTCACCAGTGCATTGGAGGACACCCCAGTCTAGTGCTTCCACCGGTGGACACCGATCCTCTGGTCCGTTGCCTCCAAAGCTCGGTCCTGATCCAAGCCTCACCCTGAGGCACCCAACCCCTTCGGAGCCCCCTGGGGGCAGAGGACTGGGAGCAAGGAGAAGGGGCTGCTGGGTGGAGTCAGGTCTGGCATGAGAGGCGCTGGTGGGTCTGGAAATGGGGCAGGCCCTCGGAAGGGCTAGAGAGGTCTGGGCAGAGGAGGAAGCTAGTCAGCCTCCGGGGGCTGCTCGGGGGGCTTTCCCGCATCGTCCCACTCAGGTAGTGGTGGCCAGGGGGCGATTGGCATGCCAGGCCCAGGTGGGTATGGGTCGTCGGGCAGCGGTGGCTTGGGTGGCCTGGGCAGGGGCCAAGGATCCTCAGGCCTCCTAGGTTTCGGTGGCTGCGACGGTCCGGCCGGAGATCCGGGGTGGCCAGGCTCAGGTGGCACCGCAGGCCCCGCCGGCCAAGGCTTCCCCGGCACGAGCGGCCCACGCGGCAGAGGATGGGGAGGCTTGGGAGGTCCGACGGGCCAAGGCTGGGGTGGCACCGGGGTCAGCGGATCGTCGGGCTTCGGCATCGGAGGGACACCGGGTGCAGGCTCCTTGGGAGGGTCAGAGCCCCGGCGGGGGTGGGACATGCTGAGGTCTCACAATGGGGGCGGTGCCTGGAGAAGTCGGAAGGGGAGAATGTTACCCAGGTGAAGCTCAAACCAGCTGAGACCTTCCTCTGCCCCTCCTGGCTGGGGACATCACCACAGCCAGGAGACCCCTAACAGCTGTCACCAGCCGACACTGATGGCTGCGCTTATCCACCGCCCCTGACTCCAGCTATCCATCATCCCTACATCCTTCTACCCACCCGTCCTCCCCTAGCTCCAGCTATCCATCGTCCATCTATCCATCCACACTGGCCTACTCAACCTATCACCCTCCCTCCCCTAGCTCTATCCATCTACCCACCCACCCTCCCCTAGGTCCAGCTATCCCTCCTCCTTCTGTCCATCCACACTGGCCTACGTCAGCATATCCACCCTCCCTCCCTCAGCTCCATCCATCTACCCACCCTGCCCTACATCCATCTACCCACACACCCTCCCCTAGCTCCAGCTATCCATCGTCCATCTATCCATCCACACTGGCCTGCATCAATCTATATACCCTCCCTCCCATAGATCCATCCATCTACCCACACTACCCTACATCCATGTAGCCACCCTCCCTTTCCTAGATCCATCTAGCTAGCTAACCACCCATCCCTAGATCCCTCTGTCCATCATCAGTCTATCCACTCACCCGTCCCTAGATCCATCTGTCCTTCCATCCAGCCACACCTAGATCTATCTAGTTTATCTGTCTATCTTCCCTTCTCTCTCTCTGTCCCCAGACAGCATGATGGCAGCATGGACAGACAGATCTATGCTCCACCAGCTGTCCATGCATCAGTCTGTGCTCCGCATTGTCCATCTCTGCCCAGATCTATCTGTCCATCGATATCTGTTCACCTTTATCTATTTTTTTGGTCCAACTACGCTCCACTGAATCCGTGCCCAGCTCTGTTTATCTCGTCTCCCCTCTATCCGTCCGGCTTCAGTTCTAGCCAGCCATCCAGCCATGTGTGCTCTCTACAGCTCTCACTAACACCCGCTATCTCTATTCATGATCCCTTCTCTCTGTCTCTCCACGGCCAGCTCTGTCTGTGTGTCTCTGGTCCACACTCCCCACCCGCCTTGTCATCTGTCCCAGAATGTGCTCCGCAGGCCAGGGCCGATAAAGCGTCCAGGTGCTCAGGACTCGAGTAAGATGATTTCCCCAGATGACCCTGCAAAGGGAGGTGTGAGGGCAGCTCAGGGATGCCATCCCCATGCGAGTTTTGATCTAGCTGGCACAGCAAAAAGGAGCCCTGGCTGGACAAGCCCTCTCAGGACTCTGGGGTCACTGAAGCCCACGTGGCCACTTCCACACTGGTAGTTTTAGCCATGCTGCTAGATCAAAGCCAGCATGGGTATGCCTTCCTCCGCTGCAGTCACGCTGACTGGTGTGTAGACATGTATTGGAAATAGAACCCAGGAGTCCTGACTCACAGCCCTCCCTGCTCTACCCACTAGACCCCACACCCCTCCCAGAGCTAGAACCCAGGAGTCCTGACTCCCGGCCCTCCCTGCTCTACCCACTAGACCCCACACCCAGGGCCGGCGCTTCCACTAGGCGACCCTAGGCGGTCGCCTAGGGCGGCAGGATTTGGGGAGCGGCATTTTGCCACCCTCGGCGGAAATTCGGCGGCGGGGGGTCCTTCCGCTCCAGGTCTTCGGCGGAAATTCAGCTGCAGGTCCTTCACTCGCTCCGGGACCCGCCACCCAAGTGCCCCGGAGACGCGGGGCGGAAGGACCCCCACCACCGAATGCTCAGAGGAGGAGCGCTGCCGCCTAGGGCGGCAAAAACCCTGGCGCCGCTCCTGCCCACACCCCTCCCCATACCCCTAGAACCCAGGAGTTCTGACTCCCAGCCCCTGCTGCTCTAGACCCTGCTCCCCTCCCAGATAACCACCTCCTCGTACCACCTGGCCAATGAGGCAGCGCTGTACCTGGCAGAAGGGAGCCAACGGGGCAGGAGCCGCCCTGTCTCTGAGGCACGCAGGGGCCTGGCAGGCAGTGGAAGCCGTCAGGGAGCCGCCAGCTTTTATACCAGCCCGAGGAGCAGAGGAACCGGACAAGCTGGTGTTCCCCAGGCAGGCCCCGTCCCGGGGCTGCCCCGGCACAACGGCCCAGTGCCGAGCTCCTAGTGGCAGCAAAGCCAGGAGGGAGAGTCACCCCACCCCTTACAACATCTCAGGACAGAGCACCAAGGACTGAGTCACCTAAATGGGTCCAGGGCAGGGGGGAGCCGCTAAACCTTCCCCATGCAGCTGAGAGGAGGAGAAAGTCAGCAGCCCCGGTGGGAGGGGAATGGGGTCTAGTGGTTAGCGCAGGGGCTGGGCGGCAGGACTCCTGGGTTCTATCCCTGGCTCTGGAAGGGGAGTGGGGTCTAGTGGTTAGAGCAGGCAGGGGCGCTAGGACTCCTGGTTCCTATTCTTAGCTCAAGGAGAGGAATGGTGTCTGGTGGGTTACACCCGGGCATGGTGTCAGGACGGCTGGGTTTTAGTCAGGCATTGCACAGCATGTCAGCTGCTTGCAACAGCCAGGATGACTTCAGCAGGACAGAAGCCAGGAGTTTCGACTCCCCGGCTCAGCACTCAGCGAGGAACCGCGAGTGTGCAACTTGTACCAAAGTAGATGACCCCTCCCAGAGGGCACTTGGTGCTTCGGGACACCCGGAGCGCGCTGGTACTGCTCTGAAGCCAGGCAACCTGGCTACCAGCTTCCCCCACCCCCGCTCTAACCAACAGACCCCACTGCCTTCCCAGAGCTGGGGATAGAACCCAGGAGTCCTGGCGCCCTGTCGCTCTAACCACTAGACCCCGCTTCCCTTCCAGAACCATTCCTTGAACCTTCCCTTTTCGTGACAGAGGAGCTTTTGTTCTGTCACCTAACGTCCCTTTGGGCTCCGTGGGGCGGAGCAAGGGGAAAAGCCCAGTAACAAAGGAAGGGGAATAGATACCGGTGGAGGGGTGTATGCCCAGCTCTGGGAGGGGTGTGGGGGTGTAGTGGATAGAGCAGGCAGTGGCTGCGAATCAGGACTCCTGGGTTCTCTTTCTGACGCGTGGGGGTTGGGGTCCAGGGCTTAGAGCCAAGGATTCCCAGTTCCACCAGTGCATTCTGGGTCTGGCGCTGACAGCGGGCTCTTTTGTAGGATTTCTGATCTCCGGGTTCCTCATTTCTTTGCGGAGTTAAGGCAGAGCCATCCCACACTCGATCTTCTCACCCCTGGAAACCCGCAGCCGGTAAAGCCAATGCTTGTGAAACCCCTGCTTGCAAACCGACTTACAATGCTGGAGACATAAGCCCGGACCGGCCACAGGGCTCCTCCACCCGCAATAGGTTTAACCACAACCTCTCCCAATCTGGGAACGATCAATGGAAAAGCCTCAGTTGCAATGCCTCCTCCTGCAGCCAGGGGGCAGCACAGCTCGCCCCCTCCCCACCACCTCTCAGCAGCATCGGGGCGTGGAAGGGGCTGGAGTTGCAAACTGGAGCTTCCCCCAGCCCTGAGAATTAAGAGGGGGAGAACGTGCCACTCGGGATCCCCCGCTCCCTTTGGGACAGACCATTCTGTTTTCTGATTCCCTTATCTCTGTATGGAGCCCAGTAACTTGGGTCTCAGATCTGTTCATTTCTACCCACCAAGCAGCCCTCTGGCACCTCGTACCTGTACGATTTTTAGTGCGTTTCTTAAAACGCCAGCTCCTGGAATCAGGGTAAAAAACCGGAGACACTCAGCCGTTATTTTTAAAAGACGTAAGTCGCTGGCCCTCGTGGTTCAAGAGAAAAGCCTGCGAATGGGAGGAAAGTGCAGCTTGTAGACAAAGAAAAAGAGCCCAACTTTTATTATCATTATTTTTAACCTCACGATTTCTTCAGCCCATCTCATGATTTTTGAACGCTTGAATTTGGCAAAACTGCCTGTGGGCCCTGCACCCTAACCGATGCCAGACAAATTTGCTAATTAGGGGGTCTCCGTCCAGCTGGAATGGAACAGCCATCCCACTGCTGACACCAGTATAATTATTATAGCTGCTCAGGGCAATGGAACATCAGATCTCTAAGGCAGTGGTTCTCAACCAGGACTACACGTATCCCTGGGGGTACAAGAGGTCTTCCAAGGGGTGCATCAACTCATCTAGCTATTTGCCGAGTTTTATAACAGGCTACCGAAAAAGCACTAGCGAAGGCAATACAAACTAAAATTTCATAGTGACAATGACTTGCTTATGCTTCTCTATAGGAACATATACTGCAATGTAAGTGCAATATTTATATTCCAGTTGATTTATTTTATAATTACATGGTAACAATGAGAAAGGCAGCCAGTTCTCAGCAATAGTGGCTTTGACACTTTTGTATTTTCATGCCTGGTTTTGTGAGCAAGTCGTTTTTAAGTGAGGTAAAACTTGGGGGGTACTCGAGACAAATCAGCCTCCTGAAAGGGGGACAGTCATCTGGAAAGGTTGAGAGCCACTGATCTAAGGCAGACGTAGCAGGTGGACCATGACTTGGCAGCAAGCTCTGTAGGCTCTTCTGCTGCCAGGCCTTCTAGGTTTGAGTCCCCAAGAACCACATGTCCAAAGAAAAGGGGCATGGCACTTGTGCTGGCTGGGGGAAAGCTGCTAACCCAAGTTCTTGGGGTCAGTACAGGGGTGAGTGGGTGGAATTCTCTGCTGTGTGCTATAGAGGAGGTCAGAGTACATGATCTAACCGCCCCTGCTGGTCTTAAATTCTACGAATCTATGACATACCTGAGGGACAATAGCAGTTCCTATTTGGGGCCTTCTGCGGGGGCTGGTCTAATGGAGGGTTCATGCCCAGTGCTAGGGGTTCCCTGTCTCTCTGTCCCAGGCCAATAGGCCTGGATCAGTGCATGGTACATGTCCTCCTGCTTCCCCACCTGCCCTGCTACCCTGCAGACCTGGCCTCGGTGACGACGTCCGCTGTCCACAGTTTTCTGCTGCTTTCAGCTTCCTAGCTGCTCCCGCTTTGCCGTGTGCCCAAGCCGGAATGGGGCGGTGACTTCCTGGGGCCAGCAGGGGGCAGCGCGCTCTCAGGTTCCCCCATCGCTCTGGGTTCTCTGTGCATCGCTCGTCATGCAGTGCGTTCCAGCTAGGGTGACCCGACAGCAAGTGTGAAAAATTGGGACATGGGGTAGGGCGTAATAGGTGCCTGTATAAGACAAAGCCCCAAATATTGGGACTATCCCTATAAAATTGGGACATCTGGTCACCCTAGTCCCAGCCCAGACTAGGGGAACGCCAAAATGGCTCATCTGTCTCCATTATAGGTTCACCCCCACTCTGTGGGGCAGAGTCTGGGGGGTCGGGTGACACCCAGTGGATCTGTCCCTTTGCCCAAGCAGAGTTCTCTCCACCATCACTCTGGTCCATGTTGGTCACATCTCCAGCTGAATGCGGATCTGGGCAGGAGGGGCAGGGCCAGGGGCTAGCCTCCCCGAATGGGTGATTCACGCGCCGCCCATGCAAATTAGCAATCAACATCACCCAAACGAGCCACCAGGCGTGTAAGAGCTTCAGGAGACACATGAAAGAGCCATAAACCTCAGTCTATCACATCTCTAGACTGATCCTTAATGCACACCTACCCGCAGTGTGAATGACTCCCAATAGCTAGGGCTGCTTCTCGTGACGGTCGTGCTTTCCAGCCGCTTCATTGCGTGACTCGTTAACATGATGGGTCGGTAATTACTACCTTCTTGCACATCCCCTCTACGCTCGAAGATGGAGACCCGTGTTCCCTTCCTCTAGTCGTCGGGCGTTTTTCCAGTTTAGAGGATTAAGTTAAAGACATTTTCATCATCACCACCACTCCCTAGTGTCCTCATGCTTGAAATGTCTCAACTGGGACGCTGTCCGGTCCTACTGCATCCTCGCATCTCAGCGTCTTCGGTTCTGTCTCAGTCTCCACCAGGTTCTGTGTGCTTCCCTCAATGGATTCCTCCAACCAGACCTGCCGTGGGCAGAAGCTGCAGCTTAGACTGGGCCTGCAGTGCGGGCTGCAGCGGGCAGCATGTGCAGAGGTGCCTCCCCCTCCAAGCCCATCGGGTTCAGGAGTAAGGGCAGGTACGTGGGGATCATGCCGTCACCTAGGCAGGCAATTAAGAGATCATGGGGCTGGCCAAACCCCGCCTGCACCGCAGGGTTATTTGGCTAATTTCGGGTTATTATGCAAGTAGCTGTTTGTCTGGTTTTCCCAAGTAAGTGGATTTGCGTGTTTCACCTTCCCACGGGCTCCTGAGAGCTTTGCAGTCATCTCACCATGAGCTGTATAAGAGCTGAGAATTGTTATGTGGCAAGCTGAATGGAGTCGGTGTCACACTGCCCCCTGCTGGGTGGAGTCTGATTTGCTGCACGTGCATTGTAAGGAAGAATTTCCCTGCTCCATGCACTTGGACCTGGTAACTCCCAGCTCCAATCCACCATTCCCCACGCCCCTCCCCATGGTGGGCATCCATCCCAGGGCACGGGCTATGTTGTAAGCATGAACAGAGTCCATTTTATGAATTTGCCGAGGTGGCAGCTCGATATTAAAGCTGCGCGCTAACAAACTAGATTTACCACTTTGTTACGTGTTATGGCCAATATTGGAATGGAGGCTAATCGGATAAGCCCTTTGTGTCTGAGTCCAGGGAGCATTGGCTTACTAATACAATGTTCGTAACTCTGAACAAAACGTTACGATTGGTCTTTCAAAAGTTTACAACTGAACATTGACTTAACACAGCTTTGAGCCTTTACTGTGCAGAAGAAAAATGCTGCTTTCCCTTTATTGTTTTAGTAGTTTACATCAAACACAGCACTGTCCTGTATTCGCTTTTATTTTATTTTTTTGTCGCTCTGTTGCTGCCTGATTGCATACTTCCAGTTCCAAATGATGTGTGTGGTTGACCGGTCAGTTTGTAACTCTGATGTGGTAACTCTGAAGTTCTCCTGTACTTTTAACATATTTATCACACTTCTGGGATTACCCCAAGGAGTAAGGATAGAGGCACCTCTATGTGTGGGTTCTGATATTTGAACAGTTTGGTATGGAAGG